GTTTTGAAGTGACTAACAGTTGTGTCTTTTATTCTGTTAATGTTCTTACTGACATGTTTTGAAGTGACTATCAGTTGTGTGTTTTATTCTGTTTCTGTTCTTACTGTCATGTTATGAAGTGACTAACAGTTGTGTATTTTATTCTGTTTATGTTCTAACTGTCATGTTATGAAGTGACTAACGGTTGTGTGTTTTATTCTGTATATGTTCTTACTGTCATGTTTTGAAGTGACTTACAGTTGTGTATTTTATTCTGTTTCTGTTCTTACTGTCATGTTATGAAGTGACTAACAGTTGTGTATTTTATTCTGTTTATGTTCTAACTGTCATGTTATGAAGTGACTAACAGTTGTGTGTTTTATTCTGTTTCTGTTCTTACTGTCATGTTATGAAGTGACTAACGGTTGTGTGTTTTATTCTGTATATGTTCTTACTGTCATGTTTTGAAGTGACTTACAGTTGTGTATTTTATTCTGTTTCTGTTCTTACTGTCATGTTATGAAGTGACTAACAGTTGTGTATTTTATTCTGTTTCTGTTCTTACTGTCATGTTATGAAGTGACTAACAGTTGTGTATTTTATTCTGTTTATGTTCTAACTGTCATGTTATGAAGTGACTAACGGTTGTGTGTTTTATTCTGTATATGTTCTTACTGTCATGTTTTGAAGTGACTTATAGTTGGGTGTTTTATTCTGTTTATGTTCTTACCGCTATGTTTTGAAGTGACTAACAGTTGTGTGTTTTATTCTGTTTCTGTTCTTACTGTCATGTTATGAAGTGACTAACAGTTGTGTATTTTATTCTGTTTATGTTCTTACTGTCATGTTTTGAAGTGACTAACAGTTGTGTATTTTATTCTGTTTATGTTCTTACTGTCATGTTTTGAAGTGGCTTATAGTTGGGTGTTTTATTCTGTTTATGTTCTTACTGTCATGTTTTGAAGTGACTTACAGTTGTGTATTTTATTCTGTTTCTGTTCTTACTGTCATGTTTTGAAGTGGCTTATAGTTGGGTGTTTTATTCTGTTTATGTTCTTACCGCTATGTTTTGAAGTGACTAACAGTTGTGTGTTTTATTCTGTTTCTGTTCTTACTGTCATGTTATGAAGTGACTAACAGTTGTGTATTTTATTCTGTTTATGTTCTTACTGTCATGTTTTGAAGTGACTAACAGTTGTGTGTTTTATTCTGTTTATGTTCTTACTGTCATGTTTTGAAGTGACTAACAGTTGTGTATTTTATTCTGTTTATGTTCTTACTGTCATGTTATGAAGTGACTAACAGTTGTGTATTTTATTCTGTTTATGTTCTTACTGCCATGTTTTGGAGTGACTAACAGTTGTGTGTTTTATTCTGTGTATGTTCTCACTGTTATGTTATGAAGTGACTAACAGTTGTGTATTTTATTCTATCATTGTTCTTACCGCTATGTTTTGAAGTGACTAAAAGTTGTGTATGTTATTCTGTTTCTGTTCTTACTGTCATGTTTTGAAGTGACTAACAGTTGTGTATTTTATTCTGTTTATGTTCTTACTGTCATGTTTTGGAGTGACTAACAGTTGTGTGTTTTATTCTGTGTATGTTCTCACTGTTATGTTATGAAGTGACTAACAGTTGTGTATTTTATTCTATCATTGTTCTTACTGTCATGTTTTGAAGTGACTAACAGTTGTGTATTTTATTCTGTTTATGTTCTTACTGTCATGTTTTGAAGTGACTAACAGTTGTGTGTTTTATTCTGTTTATGTTCTTACTGTCATGTTTTGAAGTGACTAACAGTTGTGTGTTTTATTCTGTTTATGTTCTTACTGTCATGTTTTGAAGTAACTAACAGTTGTGTGTTTTATTCTGTTTCTGTTCTTACTGTCATGTTTTAAAGTGACTAACAGTTGTGTACTTTATTCTGTTTCTGTTCTTACTGTCATGTTTTGAAGTGACTTACAGTTGTGTGTTTTATTCTGTTTCTGTTCTTACTGTCATGTTTTAAAGTGACTAACAGTTGTGTACTTTATTCTGTTTCTGTTCTTACTGTCATGTTATGAAGTGACTAACAGTTGTGTATTTTATTCTGTGCATGTTTTTACTGTCATGTTTGAAGTGACTAACAGTTGTGTATGTTATTCTGTTTCTGTTCTTACTGTCATGTTTTGAAGTGACTAACAGTTGTGTGTTTTATTCTGTTAATGTTCTTACTGTCATGTTTTGAAGTGACTAACAGTTGTGTGTTTTATTCTGTTTATGTTCTTACTGTCATGTTTTGAAGTAACTAACAGTTGTGTGTTTTATTCTGTTTCTGTTCTTACTGTCATGTTTTGAAGTGACTAACAGTTGTGTACTTTATTCTGTTTCTGTTCTTACTGTCATGTTTTGAAGTGACTTACAGTTGTGTGTTTTATTCTGTTTATGTTCTTACTGTCATGTTTTGAAGTGACTAACAGTTGTGTGTTTTATTCTGTTTCTGTTCTTACTGTCATGTTTTGAAGTGACTTACAGTTGTGTGTTTTATTCTGTTTATGTTCTTACTGACATGTTTTGAAGTGACTAACAGTTGTGTGTTTTATTCTGTTTATGTTCTTACTGTCATGTTTTGAAGTGACTAACAGTTGTGTGTTTTATTCTGTTAATGTTCTTACTGTCATGTTTTGAAGTGACTAACAGTTGTGTGTTTTATTCTGTTTATGTTCTTACTGTCATGTTTTGAAGTAACTAACAGTTGTGTGTTTTATTCTGTTTCTGTTCTTACTGTCATGTTTTGAAGTGACTAACAGTTGTGTGTTTTATTCTGTTAATGTTCTTACTGTCATGTTTTGAAGTGACTAACAGTTGTGTGTTTTATTCTGTTTATGTTCTTACTGTCATGTTTTGAAGTAACTAACAGTTGTGTGTTTTATTCTGTTTCTGTTCTTACTGTCATGTTTTGAAGTGACTAACAGTTGTGTACTTTATTCTGTTTCTGTTCTTACTGTTATGTTATGAAGTGACTAACAGTTTTGTATTTTATTCTATCATTGTTCTTACTGTCATGTTTTGAAGTGACTAACAGTTGTGTATTTTATTCTGTTTATGTTCTTACTGTCATGTTTTGAAGTGACTAACAGTTGTGTGTTTTATTCTGTTTATGTTCTTACTGTCATGTTTTGAAGTGACTAACAGTTGTGTATTTTATTCTGTTTATGTTCTTACTGTCATGTTTTGAAGTGACTAACAGTTGTGTGTTTTATTCTGTTTATGTTCTTACTGTTATGTTTTGAAGTGACTAACACTTGTGTATTTTATTCTGTTGATGTTCTTACTGTCATGTTTTGAAGTGACTAACAGTTGTGTGTTTTATTCTGTTGATGTTCTTACTGTTATGTTTTGAAGTGACTAACAGTTGTGTGTTTTATTCTGTTTATGTTCTTACTGTCATCTTTTGAAGTGACTAACAGTTGTGTGTTTTATTCTGTTTATGTTCTTACTGTAATGTTTTGAAGTGACTAACAGTTGTGTGTTTTATTCTCCTGATGTTCTTACTGTTATGTTTTGAAGTGATTTACAGTCGTGTGTTTTATTCTCCTGATGTTCTTACTGTTATGTTTTGAAGTGACTAACAGTTGTGTGTTTTATTCTCCTGATGTTTTTACTGTCATGTTTTGAAGTGACTAACAGTTGTCTGTTTTATTCTGTTTATGTTCGTACTGTCATGTTTTGAAGTGACTAACAGTTGTGTATTTTATTCTGTTTATGTTCGTACTGTCATGTTTTGAAGTGACTAACAGTTGTGTATTTTATTCTGTTTATGTTCGTACTGTCATCTTTTGAAGTGACTAACAGTTGTGTGTTTTATTCTGTTTATGTTCGTACTGTCATGTTTTGAAGTGACTAACAGTTGTGTATTTTATTCTGTTTATGTTCGTACTGTCATCTTTTGAAGTGACTAACAGTTGTGTGTTTTATTCTGTTGATGTTCTTACTGTTATGTTTTGAAGTGACTAACAGTTGTGTGTTTTATTCTGTTTATGTTCTTACTGTCATCTTTTGAAGTGACTAACAGTTGTGTGTTTTATTCTGTTTATGTTCTTACTGTAATGTTTTGAAGTGACTAACAGTTGTGTGTTTTATTCTCCTGATGTTCTTACTGTTATGTTTTGAAGTGACTAACAGTCGTGTGTTTTATTCTCCTGATGTTCTTACTGTTATGTTTTGAAGTGACTAACAGTTGTGTGTTTTATTCTCCTGATGTTTTTACTGTCATGTTTTGAAGTGACTAACAGTTGTCTGTTTTATTCTGTTTATGTTCGTACTGTCATGTTTTGAAGTGACTAACAGTTGTGTATTTTATTCTGTTTATGTTCGTACTGTCATCTTTTGAAGTGACTAACAGTTGTGTATTTTATTCTGTTGATGTTCTTACTGTCATGTTTTGAAGTGACTAACAGTTGTGTGTTTTATTCTGTTGATGTTCTTACTGTTATGTTTTGAAGTGACTAACAGTTGTGTTTTATTCTGTTGATGTTCTTACTGTTATGTTTTGAAGTGACTAACAGTTGTGTGTTTTATTCTGTTTATGTTCTTACTGCTATGTTTTGAAGTGACTAACAGTTGTGTGTTTTATTCTGTGTATGTTCTTACTGTTATGTTTTGAAGTGACTAACAGTCGTGTGTTTTATTCTCCTGATGTTCTTACTGTTATGTTTTGAAGTGACTAACAGTTGTGTATTTTATTCTGTTTATGTTCTTACTGTCATGTTTTGAAGTGACTAACAGTTGTGTATTTTATTGTTTCTGTTCTCACTGTTATGTTTTGAAGTGACTAACAGTTGTGTATTTTATTCTGTTGATGTTCTTACTGTCATGTTTTGAAGTGACTAACAGTTGTGTATTTTATTCTGTATTAATCTGCTGTATTGTTAACCAGCTAGGTTTAAGTTATTTAAAGTAAGTGATTTATATTGTTTATGTTCAACTGTCAGGTTTTGAAGTAACATGCAATTGTTTTTCATTCTATTACAATTTGCTGTATTTTGAAGTAACATGTAGTTATGTGATTTATATTGCTCAAGTAAGATCAACTATATTCTGAAGTTATCTGTAGTTGTGTGTTTTTTTTTACTGTACATAATTAATTTGCTCTAGTACTAATATGGATGTTACTACTGTACCTAATGAGACTGTTTTACCTACCGATTGATATTCAATGTCTGCTTTATTCTCTAGGCATATTTTCACATCGTTTACATTTCCAGTCAGAGCATCTGCAAGAAGTTTCTGTAAGTAAAACATAGATTTTACATTTAATAGATTGTAATGAAAAATAAATGAAACAACTGATAAATAAAGCAATAATTATTTATTATCCTGCATGACAAATAACTATATAAATCGGGGGTATCCTCACTTCAAATAACATTCAGGCAGAGAGGATATGTACTGATTATCAGGTTGCCTGCATATTGACATTGTTAAGAATCAGCTGTGATTCATAATATGATGCCCTCACAGATGCAAGTGTTATTTTAACATACACAAAGTTGAGCATGGGAGCACATAGGTCTATGGTTCACTGTAGGAGGAGTTATCTCGAAACGCTATCCGCCTCTTAAATATGCAAATATATACTCCAAAAATGATAAAGTTCAACTATCTCCCAAAAGAGCAAATATTTATCAAAATCTAAACCCTGACGACATGCACACCTTCAATATATGTTCAAACAGCCAGCAAAGTTAAAACTACCTAGCATTCAAACTGTAGGAGGAGTTATCTGGAATAACTATATACCCATAATGGGACGGAAGGACAGACAGGGGTAAAACAATATGCCCCCAGCTTTCAGTTGATGGGGCATAAAAAAAACTTTTGGATAACAATGGTGCGTTGTGTCAATTTACACTTTATACCATAAAATAGATATGTTTTTTTCAACTAACGAACTTAGCAATTGCAAGAGGAGAGAACTTCTGTATTTTTTATTTATTAAAAATTGTCCAATATTTTCTCTAACAACTCAATAGGGTTATGTATTTGACATTGTAAACAAGCATTCTGAAGGTACTAGATATAGAATAAACCTTAAGAGAGTGTATACACTTATATTTAAAAAACTTTCGATACATTTCTGAAAAGGAAAAAACCTAAAACACTAAACTGCCACTAAATTATGCATGATAATTAGTTGCAAGTTACTGACACCATGACCTCAGAGGATTTCTGGCAAGTTACTAATGATTTATAAAAAATAAATGGGGAATGTGTCCATGGGAAACAGATGATTCCCCCGCTTGCATATAACGTTATAAAGGGCCATAACTCAAGAACTGTAAACGTGACACTACCAAAATTTGAACTTGATCTGAGTTTTGTGGTAATAAGAATTGTTTATAAGTTTCATAACATTTAGTTGACGTAAACTTAAATTAGAGAACAGAAACGAAAAATTCAGCAATTTTTCCATTTTTAAAGGGGCATAACTCTAGAACAGTAGATTGATTGATTGTTGGTTGCTTAACGTCCAATAGAACAGTAGAAGTGACGCCACCAAAATTCAACCTTTATCTGTGTTTTGTGGTAATTAGCATTGTGCATAAGTTTCATAAAATTTGGTTGAGGCAAACTAAAGTTAGAGAACAGAAACAAATATTTCAGCAATTTTGAGATTTGTAAAGGGGCATAACTCTAGAACGGTAAAAATGACGCCAACAAAATTCAAACTTGATCTGTGTATTGTGGTAATTAGCACTGTGCATAACATTTGGTTGAGGCAAACTAAAGTTAGAGAACAAAAACTAATATTTCAGCAATTTTTCCATTGGAAAGGGGCATAACTTTAGAACGGTGAAAGTGACACCACCAAAATTCAAATTGATCTGTGTTTTGTGGTTATAAATATTGTGGATAAGTTTCATAACATTTGCATCATTTGGTTGAGGTAAACTCAAGTTAGAGAACAGAAACAAAAAAATCAGCAATTTTTTCATTTGTAAAGGAGCATAACTCTAGAATGGTAAAAGTGACGCCACCAAAATTCAAACTTGATCTCTGTTTTGTGGTAATAAACATTGTGGATAAGTTTCATATCATTTGGTAGAGGCAAACTAAAGTTAGAGAACGGTAACCAATTTTGGGACGTACTGACGGACAAGGGTAAAACTTAATGCCTCCTCCGCTATGGCGGGGGCATAAAAATAAAAAAGGCAAGAAATTTCATGCAGTTTATGCCTATCTTTGCTATGAGTTGTTATTAGCAACACCTTAGTCAAATGTTTGTAGTACATTTTTCTTTGTCCCAATCTTTGTTGTGTTTGTTTTATCTTTGACCTTGTAATATCTTTTTTTGTAGGTCACGTAGAATTCTACTAGTTTGTATCTCAAATCATCACATACATGTATTTTTGGTTAGAAAATGGAAATAAAAGGTCACATGACAATTGGACTTAAAAGTAAATCTTACCTTATTCCAATATTCCATTATATCCTAAAAATAGAAAAAAAAATATTTCAAATATATACTGTTGTAGTTATCATTGAGTTATAATTGTTAATGCCAATTGAAAATACATGATCATTATGGACTTGAAAATTACTGACCTAATATTTTCAGAGATTAATCTAATCCAAAAACATGTAATACTAGCATCTAAAAGACTATCTCAACTTTTCTGCACTATTTGAAATTTGTGTCGCTCACCTGGTGAAAATATTGCTAGTTTGCTCACTACGATTTTTATATGCACATACTAGTTACTCTTTGTGTTGCTGATATTTATGCAATTTACATATTTAACCTAGCTCCTATAGGTTTTTAGATAACAGCCAAAACTGCAAACATGAGTACACACGCTGAAATGCCAGAAATACATGTACATCTTACAATCATTCCATACACCAAATATAGTTGATCTTTTGCTAGTAGTATACAAGACAGACCAAATCATTAAAATTTTATATTGACAAATGAACCATGAAAATTAGGTAAAGGACAGATGAACCCTGTCAGACAGACATATACACCTTACAATCATTCCATGGATCAAATATAGTTGACCTATTGCATATAGTATTTAAGGAAAAAACTAAACCAGGAAAACATCATGGTGACCAATGAACCATGAAAAAGATGTAAAGTTGAGTTGAAACCTGCAAGACAGGTTTTCCTGTTTGAATTGTTTTACACTAGTCATTTTTGGGTCTTTATAGCTTGCTGTTCAGTGATAGTGAGCCAAGGCTCGGTGTTGAAGGCCGTACTTTGACCTATAATGGTTTACTTTTTACACATTGTGCCTGGGATGGAGAGTTGTCTCATTTGCACTCATATCACATCTTCTTATATCTATATAGTATATACACTTTAAAGTCATTCCAAACACCAAATATAGTTGACCCATTGCTTATAGTTTAAGAAAAACGACCAAAACAAAAAACTTAACATTGAGAAATGAGCCATGAAAATGAGGTCAAGGTCAAATAAAACCTGCCAGACTAACTTGTACATAATAAAATATTTCCATACATCATATATAGTCGACCTATTGCATACAGTACTAGAAAAACAGACCAAAACAAAACAACTTAACTATATCCATTGAACCATGAAAATGAGGTCAAAGTCAGATGACACCTGGCAGTTGGACATGTACAACTTACAATCGTTCCATACACCAAATATAGTCGACCTATTGCTTATATGCTTATTTCTGAGATATGGACTTGACCACGAAAACTTAACCTTGTTCACTGATCTGTGAAATGAGGTCAAGGTCAAGTGAAAACTATCTGACAGGCATGATGACCTTGCAAGGCACGCACATACCAAATATAGTTATCCTATTACTCATAATAAGAGAGAAATTAACAATACAAAAAAACTTGAATTTTTTTTCAAGTAGTTACTGAACCATGAAAATGCGGTCAAGGAAAATTGATATATCATATCATATGACAGCCATTGCCGCTGGATCACTATCCCTGTCGAGCTTTCTGCGAGAGAAGTCGCAGGCATGAACAAAAACCTTTAAAAATCAATATTTCAGGGGCAATAACTCCAAAACTTGTAGTTAAAAAAAACTGAGTAAAAAGATCTTGTCATGCTGATCGTAATTATAGTTTACACTTTTAACCTATAGCTAGCTCCTATAGTTTTACAAATAACAGGCAAAAATGAAAAAAATTGGAAAAATGTATTTTTCAGGGGCAATAACTCAAAAACACAGGTTTACATATTTTTTCAACATTTCCAGAGTTATAAAATCTTGTCAAGCTGACCATTTTTGTAATTTACACTTTTAACCTAGCGCCTACATGTTTATCAATAATAACAGGATAACACTTTAAATAAATGTGCTTTGCGAGCGCAGCTGGATACGACCGCTGAGGTCCAACCCTGAACAGTTGGGGCAAAAATGGACACAATATTCAAGCTTGATACAGGTATGAATTTGGATTGTAATTAAATATTTGACACATTATAGGTTTCTGACACAGAATAAATGTAGTCAAAGAACTTGAAATTGGTTATATGATTTGAATTTATATTCAATTGAAGATTTCTTGCTGTTGTGCAATACACTGTGCTGTTGCGCAATACTTAGTAAATCTGTTTTCAGACTATATACAAAGAATTAGCAAAATAAATTGTGACCCCCAATTTTTTTTTTGGAAAATTGATACTTTCTTAAATCTTGAGGGAAAAAATTGACCCCACCCCCAAAAAAAATTTTGTTTACCCACCCTCCAAAAAAATAATGGAAAATTGATAATTTCTTAAATCTTGAGGAAAAAAAATTGCCCCCCCAAAAAAAAATTTTTTTGTTTACCCCCCTCCAAAAAAATAATATTTGAAGAAATTTTCTTTTTGTAAAATGTGGTACAATTTAAGAGACATCCATACATTTAAACACAATTGTCTGAAAACTTAGAAAAATGCTTGTTTTGGCCCCTAATTCCTGAAAGGTGTGGGCAATTACCCCCAAAATGAATACCAACCTTCTACTTGTGGTATTGAACCTTGTGGTACAATTTCAGAGCAATCAAAATACTTATACACAAGTTATTGTCCTGAAACTAGAAAAATGCTTGTTTTGGGCCCCTTTTTGGCCCCTAATTCCTAAACTGGTTGGGACCATCACCCCCAAAAACAATCCCAACCTTCCTTTTGTGGTATTGAACCTTTTGGTTAAATTTCAGAGATCTGTACACTTAACCAAATGTCATCGGACGACGACAACGTGATAGCAATATACGAACGCAAATTTTTTGCGGTCATATAAAAATGATTTTTCAGGGGCAATAACTCTAAAACAGGGTGACAGATTTTTCTCCAATTTTTAGGTTAAAATACATTTTGTTGTGTTGCAACTTTTTGCAATTTACACTTTTAACCTAACTCCTATAGTTTTTATGATAGCAGCCACCAACTGTGAAAAATTCTAAAATAGATAGTTCAGAGGCAAAAACAAGTGGTTAGTTTTTACCAAATTTTCATGGTGGATACATCTTGTCGTGCTGATAATTTTTACAGTTTACACTTTTGACCTAGCTCCTATAATTTTGGTAGATCTTACTTTATGGAACATTTTTGCCACTAAAGGTTTCTCTCTATCTATCATAGTTTCTGCATCTTTCAAGGGCAATAACTCCAATAAGGGATTAATTTACAATTTTGTTCAGCTTGACTTATTTGTAGATTTTTTTAAACTTGCTGAACATTTTTGCTGTTGAAATTTCTGTTTATCTTTAATAGTTTTCTAGATAAAATCGAAAAACAGAAACTTTAATAACAATTATTATTTCAGGGGCAGTAACTCCAAATAGGGTTGTCCCATTGGTTTGAAATTTTCGTGGCAGATAAATCTTTACATGTTTATCACATGTATCATTTTTATTTAGGTCAGTTTTGCTTTAACTGCTTTTTTTTCAGATATAAGCCATAAACTTCTTTTTTTGCCCTATGTTTTATTTTCTTTGTCATGGCGGTCATGTTTCTTGATAGACAAAAAAACACAAACTTTATACCATGTATACTAGATACCTTAAGGATAATTCAGCCCAAGTTTGATAAAATTGGTCCCCTGTTTTCAGAGATGATCTCTGAAAAAGTTAACATGGGAAGACGGACAGACGACCGACGCAAAGGGATGGCAAAAGCTCACATGGCCTTTTAGGCCAGCTGAGCTAAAAACTAAACTCAAAACCTTGTATATCTAATTACATACCTAAATGAGGTATTCTACAAACAGGGTGTGATTTTTTCCTTCAAACACAAAAACATCAATTGCACTTTTGCCGACCTAAAAATTTCAAAAGTTATATTTACCAGCATTAAGACTATATTGAATTCATTAATTTCCAGCCTCTCTAAAATAAACTGTCCACAAATGAGCAAGGCAATCATGGCAATCACATTAAACAATTGTTCTTTTTACACTCTCTTTGTGTGCCTGTCCATTTCGAGGAACCTGTAGTATAGTGGTTGTTGTTGGTAGCTGTATTCCCTCCCCTGTTTTCATTGTTGTAATAGGCTGTTGATTTTCTCTTTTGATTTGTTACACATTTTATCATATCAGTGCTGTTTATAGATTTTTATATTATTATATGGTATTGGTTTTGTGCAATTTCGGAGGCTATTGAGAGACCTGTCAATCTGATGTTCAGTAGTTGTCGTTTGTTGATGTGGTTCATAAATGTTTCTCGTTTTTGTCGAGCCTTCGACTTTAGTCGAAAAAGCGAGACATAGCGATCCTACATTCCGTCGTCGTCGTCGTTGTCGTCGGCGGCATCCACAAATATTCACTCTGTGGTTAAAGTTTTTGAAATTTGAATAACTTTCTTAAACTATCCTGGATTTCTACCAAACTTGGACAGAAGCTTATTTATGATCATAAGATAGTATCCAGAAGTAAATTTTGTAAAAATAAAATTCCATTTTTTCCGTATTTTACTTATAAATGGACTTAGTTTTTCTGCCGGGAAATATTACATTCACTCTGTGGTTAAAGTTTTTAAAATTTTAATAACTTTCTTAAACTATCCTGGGTTTGTACCAAACTTGGACAGAAGCTTGTTTATGATCATAAGATAGTATCTAGAAGTAAATTTTGTAAAAAAATAAATCCATTTTTTCCTTATTTTACTTTTAAATGGACTTAGATTTTCTGCCAGGAAACAACATATTTACTCTGTGGTTAAAGTTTTTAAAATTTTAATAACTTTCTTATACTATTTTGGATTTGTACCAAACTTGGACAGAAGCTTGCTTATGATCAAAAGCTAGTATCTAGAAGGAAATTTTGTAAAAAAATAAATCCATTTTTTCCGTATTTTACTTTTAAATGGACTTAGATTTTCTGCCAGGAAACAACATATTAACTCTGTGGTTAAAGTTTTTAAAATTTTAATAACTTTCTTATACTATTTTGGATTTGAACCAAACTTGGACAGAAGCTTGTTTATGATCAAATGCTAGTATCTAGAAGGAAATTTTGTTTTCTTCCAGTTAACATTACATTCAGTCTGCAGTTAAAGTTTTTAAACATTTATTAGATTCATAAACTCTCCTGTATTTTTACCAAAATTGGACAGAAGCTTCTTACAATCAGAAGATAGTATCAAGAGGAATATTTTTATTGATTTACTACCTCATTTTTGTTGAGCCTGCGATTAACAGAAAAGAAGGCGAGACACTGGGTTCCGCGGAACCCTTACGAATTTTTTATATAGATTAGACCGTTGGTTTTCCCGTTTGAATGGTTTTACACTAGTAATTTTTTGGGGCCCTTTATAGCTTGCTGTTCGGTGTGAGCCAAGGCTCCTTGTTGAAGGCCGATCTACGACCTATAATGGTTTAATTTTATAAATTGTGACTTGGAGGGAGAGTTGTCTCATTGGCACTCATACCTCATCTTCTTATATCTATTATCTGTAGTTGTTTATATCTTTGTCCTTCTGACTAGGGATAACTGTTTCACCATCATTCATACAACATCTCTTAATTAAAGAACCTTTGTGAGCACACTTACATACCCAACACCCCCACATTGTCACTGGGCAAACAAAATCTTGCCCAATTTCTAAGTTCAAAGACAAATAACTCCTACAAAAGTCAACTGATAAAAATTTCTTGAGTATATGCACATCTACATATTATGTCCTAATTATCTACAAAGTTTCATGAAATTCTGTTGTGTGGTTTTAGAGGAGTTGCTATGACAAGAACAGGACTGAGAGACGGACGGACTGACTGACTGACTGACTAACGGACTGACAGATGAGTCAAACACATTATACCCTACTGAACTTTGTTCCATGGGGTATAATTATTATATAACAAAATGATATAATGATCAAAGATATATTCCCCTGCTTTCTAACAGGATTGAAGGTACAAATTTACTTCTATTAGTTAGTTCTTACATTTGCTTTAAAGAATATAAGGTCCTGGACCATTTTAATTTTTAAGTGAAAGGCCCTTCAGAAAGTCATAGGTCCTAAAAAAAAAACATCAATGTAAAAAGATGGGAGGTTTTGGACTTTTGTATTTCAAAAACAGAAATGAAAGGTTATGTTACCCTTGACTTCCAATAATTTAATCCCCTGAAAAGTTAAGTCATAATATTTCAAAGTTTTATTATATAGCCATATTTTAGGTTGGTGCATTAAAGTCCTTAAATCAACACGATCAAAGCCTTCTTAAAAAATGACACTTGCCTATTCTGTTTGTGCGTGTCTCAAGTCAGGAGCCTGTTATTCAGTTGTATCATTTGTTGCTGTATATCATATTTGGTTTTGGTTTATTGTTTTTTTTTACATAAATCATGCGAATAATTTTTTTGTTTTGTCAAGATTGTTTTGCATTGGTAATTTCTGGGCCTTTTATAGAATACTATGAGATATGGGTTTCGCTCATTGTTGAAGGTAGTACCGTTACCTATAGTTGTTAACTTCTACGTCATTTGGTCTCTGGTGGAGAGTTATCTCATTGGCAATCATACCACATCTTCTTATTTTTATAAAGAAAACTTTGATGAAAAGTTTCCTTGTAAAATGAGCATTGTAAAATTTCAATCTATTGGCAAAAAGGAAGTGGCTACACAGCAGATGCAAAAATTGCTAACATGCCACAACTCAAGATTATCAAGATGCAGACCAAATATAAAAGCATTCCCTTCCTTAGAAGCCAAGAAAAGATTTACAAAAATTATCCTTGAACAATGAGTGTTGTAAAATTTCAAACTTTTGAAAAAAGAAAGTGGCTGCACAGCAAATGTTAAAATTTGTAACAGGCTACCACTCAATATTATCAAGGTGCAGACCTAATATAAAAAGGTTCACTTTAGGCCAAATATGGCCTTGAATTTCAACTTTATCAGAAATGGCCATAATTTGGTTTCTTAAATGGATCTATTTCAAAAGTCTTACTTCTTTGTTAAAATAAATCTCTTCACAAGAGTACATTCTTGGCTTCAAACTCAGCACATTTTAGATATACATGTATTGTCAAAATAAGATGATTTTATGCATTTTTCGGACCTAAAAGCTTGAGGCAACCCTTGGCTGCAACCTAGGATACAAAATGTTCTGTAACCAAAAGTTGCCAATGATTATATTGAATCCCTAGACACAAAAACTTTCTGGAACATGGGTTGCAGCCAAAGTAAATTATACAGAAAACTGTTAAGAATAATTGAAAATATGACCAAAGTTGATGTTTCAACTCAAATAATTCATACTTAAGGAGTCAATACTTCGTCATTTTTAAATGTGATGTGCCAAACTGAAGTTATTTTGTATTTATAGTAATATCACATCTATGTCTATGTAAAATTTGTAGCATTTTGGCCTGATTAAAAAAACATCAAAATCTTATGGCCAATTTTAACCTGTCGTGAACTTACTCCTGTGTAACATGCTAAGACTCAACTTTATCAGCTGCAAACCAAATATAAAAGCATTCCCTTCCTTAAAAGCCGAGAAGTTTTACAAAAATTTTCCTTATACAATTAGTGTTTCCTACAGGAGGTTTTGGCGTGGTATGGCGCCCTGCCATGTTTTCTTGACGCCCTGCCCTTTTTAGGAAAAAAAATTGGTGCCATGCCCCTTTACCCTCGTATTTTAGAACGCCCCACCGTAATTTAATATCTGTTCTGCAATCCATCTTTTAGCAAAACCTTTTAGATTTATTTCCCTTGGAACAAAATAAAAAATTTAATGGCCGACAATTTATTGAATTGAATTTCGTAATACAAGTAATAGCTTTTCTAAAAGCTAGCCGACTTTAGCTGATGGAAGACGAAAATGTTTTTGCTTTGTAGTTTAATTCATTCAGAATAGCCTTGTATATAAATTGCAGTGGATTACAAAACTTATAAAAGGCTTATACAATTTTTTTGATTTACCAAAATCTTTTTTTGGGGAATGTTTGTATTAACACAGGAAACGGAGGGGAATTGTCTTAATCATCTGTGTTTGTAGCAAACTTTTGAAAACATTTTTTTTAATTTCAGTTTTTTCTGATAGATGGACTTAGTTTCTTACAGTTAACATTTACAGACAGTCTGGTATTAAACTTTTTTTTGACATTTTCAAACCTCCATGGATTGTTATGAAACTTGGACATAAGCTAATCTTCAAGACCAGGAAAAAGCATCTAACATGTCTAAAGAAAAAGTTTGAAATTTTTTTTAAATTCTTTATACTGATAAATGGACTCACTTTTTAAGTCAACATTACACTTTACACTGATAGCAGCAATCGCAGGCGACACAGGGTTCCCCGGAACCCCTTATGAATTTTTTGCTGTTAAGATATTTTTTTACATGTACAAAATGTATTTACAACTATGCTACATATATTATAGCTAGACTTGGGAGGATAAAGAACTTAAAATATTGTAATGACATGTCCATTGTAAAAGACTGTATGCTGAACTTTAGAAGTAAATTGTTTAGTTTGTTGTTTAATTGGGTTGCTTTCTAAATACATTATGTATACTTCACATCTCATTTTAAATCATGCATAAATATCAAATATTGCTTAAAATATGCTAGCATAAATGTATAATTGCTTTTATCGTTTGGAGTTTTTTTTTTATTTTTCTGTTCTTCAACGTCTGTTATCTTGATAGGAAGAGCTAGGGAGAGTAAGACAACGTCCAACCAAGCCCACACCCGGATCCCCTAAATATCTTGGGGTATGTGGAAAGGGGGAGGCACTTATTATAATGAGTGGAAGGGATGAGCCACTGGTCGAGAAATTTAGGTGAAATATGTAACAAGGTGGATGATTGTGAATC